CATCATCCATCATTTTAAGTAATCCACACACTTTTCTTCTTGATCTATTTGGTTTGCAGAATCTATTTGGTAGAAGAAGCAAACCTTTCTGATGATTTCTGTTGAAAGGCTAGCATTCACGCTTGCATTCCTTAATGCCAGAGGCATAAGGCAGGTTAGGACACCTTAGTTTGATAACTATTGGCCCAAGATACTTATTTTTACGAACATATTTTTAAAACTTTGCTCAAATCCAATAGCTTTCCATAACTTCTAAAGTAAAGCTCTTCGACTGAAGCTCTATAACTTAGCTTCCCCTAGCTAACGAGAAAAAATTCTCATTTTTACATTTTGCTATTGTGTTTCACGTGATCTACACCTTTAGATTGGACCTTCATGCTTTCCAAAAGCTCGTCTTTAAACAATTTGTCCAAACAATTTGTAAAATCCAACAGAAAGGGCTTTCTGATACCATTCAGTGCAGAACTGATAAACTGCCACTTGCTCGTGCTGACTAAAATCAGATCATGACAGCAAAATATCCGCTTTCGTTACTTCTTCGACAATCCTCTCAAGCACTATTTGCGCTATTGCTGTTCTTGTAGCCTGTGCCCCAGTCCACAAATGCAGCCACATTCATAAATTTTTTCGTGTCGTTTTCTTGTGTTTGCACACAACAGGTTTCTTTAACATTATTCCATTACTACTGGAAGCGCTCACGGTTACGGCCACTTTACTCATCTAAGAGATTTAAAAACAGGTTCAAATTGTAGTTTTCTGATACTTTTTTGTCTTTAGAGAAGGCTCCTGCCCGATTTTTGCCCGAAAAAATCAGCTGCCCTAATCTAAGGTGGCCTCAAGACCATGACCAACAAAATGAATGAATCGCCGGTTGAAATTTGGTCAAACTTCCTAATTAACGCTAAGATCCCCGCTGAATGCCGAATTGTCTGCTTTTATTTCGGTAGTAGGTCCTTATGTGCCCTCTTCGATGCATTTGAGAAATAGAGCAGTAGGAGTTCTGTATTTTCGGTTTCTACACGGAATTGTTGGTCCCTTGGCTGTGATGAGGGTATTTAAGCGTATAGGTGGGGCTCATCGTGATTGTTGGTAGACTTTTTCAACGCTCTTCTCTTTTCCCGTACCCTCCCTCCCTTTTTGGTATCTAGCAAAGTGTGTTTTTTTTATAAGTCTTTTACATTCTTTTGTTCTCTTAGGGATTAGGGCTTATCTACATTACAGTAATCTTTAAAAGGTACTGATATTTTTAGTTTAGGATGGATCCGGCATTTTATTCTGTCATATATTGTCTTTCCCTCTCATACCTTAGGAATCTAAGGTAGGAATGGTGCATCGGCTCCCTGGTGGGGAACAGTGGTCTTTTCTTGTCCATTCCCTGATCATAACTCAAATCTGCTTGCACTTGAGTTAATCAAGCTACATCTAAGGTTTAGGATTTTTACTTGGGTTTTTTTAACAGTCTAAAAAAGTACATTTTACAAGAACAAGATTACAAAGACAATGTTGTGAAAAAACTGCCGAAAAAAATACAATCGGGCTTATACTGTACGCTATGCATGTTATGCTCTTGGCAATGCTGTCTTGATTTTTTTGCCATTGCCATTTTTAGCAACAAGTTTGTGCAATACGAGGGGCAGACGTTTTGTTTTGAGGAAAACAATTACTTCATGTAAATCACATAAATTTTCTAAAAACATTTACTCAAAGCAAATTCTCTTTCCTGTAAAATATCACCTAAAACGTTCATAACCATGAACTGTTCTTTAAATGAATATTGAAAATTAGCCAATCGGTTTGGAACCTGAGCTTTAAATGTTTTTGGCAATTCTTGCTCATTGATAAGTCGTCAAGAGAAATTTTCATTATCTGTTCTTCAATCTCTTCCTCTGCTTGGTTCATCTCATCTCCGTGGGTTCTTCTACTTAGGTTCATCAGTGTAGGTTATAATGTGCAGGTTTTCGGAGTAGGCTGTTTTGCACAGGTTCATCGACACAGTTTCTTTTGGGTTGTTTCTTCTGACATTTCTTTCTGCGTTCCTCAGATTTATTTCTTTCTGAGTTCCTCTGCATACATATTTCTTTGTATTGGCGCCGCGGAGCGTTGAGAAAAGTGGGGGGGGGTCTAAAAAGTGAGGGGGGCTAAAACCTTATTAAAAGAGACTTTACTGGTACTTGATTACTTAATATTTGGCATTTTTTGCAAAAAGTAGGGCTAAAGCCCCAGCCCTTCTGCTCCGCAGTGCCTTTCGTAGGTTCCTGTGCATAGACTCTTCTGAGCAGGAACTTCTGGGTAGATTCTTCTGTGCATGTTGTTTTGGGTAGGTTCTTTGGCGTAGGCTTCTTGGTGAAGGCTCTTCTTCGTAAGTTCTACTGCTTAGCTTCTTCTGCCCATGTCCTTCTGTGTAGGGGGTTCTGCGCAAGTGCTGTCTGGCCCCGGTTGGCTAAGTGACGATCGCCATATGATAAAAACGATGACGGCAACTTTTTCACAAAAGGTTTGAGAATATGAATGTTGATAAATTCTAATTTCACCTAAAATATCTACTAAGGTTCCACAACAAACAGTAAAATCACTAAAATAATAACAATTTTGAATACTAATAAATTTAGTAAGTTTGAGCGTCACTGCGAATCGCACATTGAGCCACCAAACATTACGATATCATAACAAAATCACATTAGTATAAGTACAGTCGTTTAGCTGCTGCGCACAGCGTTTAATCACGCAACAAGCAGTTCAATCCTGTTTGTTAGACGATTCAACAAGCGTGGGACTAACATACATCCTTTCCGTGCCCCTGTCTTGCATCTAATCGTTTTATTTATTTCCAGTAATTTTCTTATAAAGCACACGAGAATCTATATTTGTCACCCCTTCTTTTTTGCGCAACTTCAAAATGACAAATGTCTTCTCAAATTCCACATGGTTTACAGTTTTCGACTTTGACTTGCTTAGCTTTTGCACGTAATGCTGAAATAAAAAGGAAAGAATTTTGCAACTGTGGATTGCTTTCTTAGAATGATCTTGAACCGCTAAATAAGGAATAACTAGGGCTGCTGCAATCGTTTCTTGACGTACTAATTATTGCAATATGTATAATCGACTACTCTCTTAGAATCCATAGAAACGCTAGTCTTGATGCAGCATTTGTGGACTGGGGCGCAAGCTAGTTTTGATACGATCGTTTGGCACACGTTGAGAAGGAATGGAGAGCAGTTGTCTGCATACATAGGCCCGCTCAGAGCCACCGATTGAGGAGCATGGGACAAATTATTCTGGCATCGAGGCATCAAGGCATCGAGGTCAAACGGACCTTATAAAGAAGTTGATTCAATTCTAAGATAGAATTAATCAAAAATGTGAATTGACCAAAAGCTTGACAATGTGAGGGTTATGTCTTATTAATGACTTTAGGGGCCACGTAAAGAAAATATCTAATTCTTGTATATCATTAAATTTAGGATTCTTTCCTTTATAATTAGTGCAGCGACTTGGATTTTTTTCAGATTATTTATTCTACTGTAGAACTTCTCAATTTGGTGCTTTTTGCTATCTGGTCATCTATCTGAAACGTGTCTTATCCATAACACTGGAACAGAACCTTCATATGACGTATGTCTACCTCAGTCAACCACTACCACAGTCAACCTTTTAATTCTTTATCTTGTGCTTTTGGTACGTAAAATTCATATTCCTTCAGTTCTATAGACAATCTAGTTGAGTGGCTCATTCATCAACAGATAGAATTCCCTCTTAGTAACGTACATGCAACACAGCATGTAAATTTTTCATAACTTTTTGCACCCAGACCAATCTCCAAACAAAACTTCACTGAAATAGATCCTGTCAAAAAACTACAGGCACAGATATTATCTGTAATATAAATAAAAATACCATAAACTGCTATTTCATTTGCATTGCTAGTAATTTCATGAGATTCAGCAAAAAAATGTCTCGCCTGAATTGAAGGCTAATAAAATTAGATACATATATATTTTATAATGCGCTGCGTAGCAATCATCAGCTGAATGAAACCTATTCTTAAGGATTTGTCACAAGAAAAGTATGCCCACAAAACCCTTTGTCTTTACAAACTTTATGAATGACCATTAGAAGATATCTTCCACTAGTCTCTTATTGTTTTAGGAATCGTTATTATCAGGTATGGACATACCGAGGGACTGTTGGGAGTGCGGCACCCCCAAATGTTTTTCTGTCATTCAGTCAAGTTTGCTTTGATTCGGTAGGAAGATTTTCTTGGTAATCAGTAGTGATTCAATAACGCTAAGATTTTACTTCACTTATCGTTTTATCTTTTTAATCTTATCTTTTCAAAGGTAATTACCAAATTTAGTGTTTCCAAAAATTTTTAGGCACCTGAAAAGTGTGACACAAAAATTTAATCATTTTCCAACCCCCCCCCCCTCCAACAATCCTTGTTTCTAAAGTATATTATTATTAAATCACTAACAGCTCAAATATAATGTCATGTAACATCATGCAGATACCATATTGCTTAAATAAAAGGGAATGAGCCTTTTTTAGGGCGTACCATTTCCATATGCACTTTTCTTTTTATAAGAATAAAATTTCAAAAAATGTTGTAGCTCGATACTGGTGAAAAATAATAATTGATTAAAAATAATTGTAAGGCACTATTTTCATCGACAGCTTGACTTTTTATTTTGCTGTTGGGCCAGCAAGATAAGCTTGACTTTCATGCATAAAATTTAAATACTATCATAATTACATTTCCATAAATGTGATCATGACGACGAAAATTTGTGCTTTTTCCTCGATTCTTACCAATTTTTACATCATATTTCAGTCAGAATCATGCAAAGGCAAATAGCACAGAATCACAGTTCTGTAACAATACTGAAGTTCATTAAGAAAGTTTCTCCCTCTCTCTCTCGTTTTTGACTTCATTTCTCTTTTCTGTAATATTTCAATTGGTAATGAGTTGCGATTGGCTAAATTGGCTCACGTGACTTGTCGCGCTCCTTCAACCAAACCAACACATTTGAAGCTTTATTTTTAGGCCTAAATGTCTTCAATGAGTACTTAGTACAAAGGCTTGATCGTGCATTATCGTTTAAAATCCGTTTGTTTTCAAGGGTTTCTTTCGTTGATGCAGGATGGCACCGATTCAAAAGCAAGGTAAGATGTGACTTTATGTTGTTTTACGGTTGATATCCATCTCTGCGTTAAGATACATATCCCCCGATCCACTGGCCCCGCCTCAGTTCTATCCCATCGGGAGGCCAAAACTTGCTATTGCTGTAGCGAACAAAATACTGATTGTAAAAATTGCAGACTCATTTGCAACCCTTGCTTTTCTGGATTAGTTTTGACTTGTATCTGGCATGGTAGCAGTTTTAGGTCAGTTGTTAAGGGAGACAATCCCATCGATAGCTGATGATATCAAAGATGGTGATTACGATCATGCTTGCTATCGCTGTGTGCAAATAAGCTTCAATAACGTTTCTGTTATCCAAAGCGGTCAAGATAATGGCTGTGGAAAAAGGTTGTAACGTTATCACGAAATAGGTGAAATGCTCTGCTACTTCAGTTTAATATGCCGAATGAGTAGGAAACAAATTTATTTTCTTCGTTGGTGCGCTCCACGCCCTTTTCTAACTTATTCTTGTTTTTTGTTTGCCGAGGTTTTGCCCCGAGGTTTTACCCCAACTGATTGTCATTGTGCTGATAGAAGTTTGAAAACAACTTTCTCGTTCCAAATTACAGAGCAGCTCTTTTCTGCCTGATGTGTAATTCCATACTAATTAAAGCAAGGGTCCGGTCTGCGTCTGAACTTTCTTTAATGATAAAAAATTTTCAGATTAGACAATCCAAGGGAAAGGCTACTTGGATAGCTGTCTTAGTGAAAAAAGTATTTAGAAACATGCCAAAAAGTTTTCTTTTTACAACTTACACATTTTTTGGCTTGGAATCCTTGAAAAGGCAAGGGAGAGATGTAGCAAAAATCTATATTATAATAACTTGAAAGATGAAAGGTGTCTAATGAAAACAAATTAGGATTTGATCCCTAAAAAAAATATGCTAATGAAAACAAATTAGGATTTGATCCCTAAAAAATATATGCTAATGAAAACAAATTAGGATTTGATCCCTTAAAAATATGTGTATTTGTATCAGGAAAAGGTTGGTATGCATCTGGTGCTTTCAAATATAGTATTCCCAAAGCTTCCTGTTTGAACCAAAAATGACCTTATATAGTGTTTTAGATATGCGCCAAAAGCAAACCTTTAATGTTGAAATAAGCCTTGTATTTTAAAAGGTATTTTCAGTGATCCTGTGCTCACTTTATCAGTCAATTAAAAGTGTCAAATGTGGATAGCGAATTAATTATGTTATGATTTCCACTGAATGCAGTTTCTCATTCCAAAGAGGAGTCTTTAGCCTTCTCCCCCAAGCAATAGACCAAACTTTTTTAAACAAAATCACATGTTTCTACTGTTGAGGGACAAAAAGTATGGTTGGTCTTTTACTTTCCACAGGTGTCACTCAGTACCCTGGGACTTCCTTTATAAGGCCCTGGTCACATGATACCAGATTCATTTGGTATCAGATTGCTTTTCATATCAGATAGGCCTTCTTTTCACACAATGACGCTTGAATCTGATATGCTCTGTATCCTTTTCGCAGAGTCAAACCATTCCGCTTTGAATGTGGAATGGAATCATATGGCTCAGGGTTTTTAAAAACAGTTGGGCACTCTCCAAGACACAAAATGACAGTGGTTTCCAGTTAAACAATAAATATGCTCCTTGCGAGGATAGATTTAAAAGCTGATTTCGAAATGCTTCTTATTCAAAACAAAACAGCCTAACAGATATGTCACATCAACCAAAGAATGCATTTGATCAGAAAAAGAGCAAAACAATAAACAACCTTCAAGTTGCTATGCAACTGCTTCATTACGATGGATTTTTTGGAGCATTGTTGAAGCCTAGCGTCATCGTGTGAACAGGAGTGAATCCGATACAATATGAATCAGGTATCGTGGGAACAGAGGTTAATTTTTGTATCAGATTGGTTTTTTGCTCTCCCTGTTCTTTGATCTGTTCTAAAAATACTTTATGTTAACATTCCTCTGTGCCCAAATTATAACTGGCAATGTGGTGACAACACAACCCCTTAATTTCTTTTACTGGAAAGCTTAAACCTGAAGCAGAAGAAACAGCTGCCTTGATACTTCAACAATCCTGTATACATCAACAAGCAATCTACTCACCATCTGACAATAAAGTCATTAACCAATCGATATTGGGTTGAGTTCTTAGTTTGGTAACAATATCAAGTAAATAACGAAGCTAGATTAAATATATATAGAGAAAGTTAATTCATAAAGTCCAGTTCACTTTTCGCCCTCTGTGAGCTCTAAGCATGATCATAATAGTTTCTGTGTGGCTAGGCCAAATCAATGCACTGCAGCAGTCAGTATGTTATGGCGGAAGCTTTCTTATTGTGGTTCAAAACATGTTGAAATAAACACTGTTATTTCCTTGTTTTATAAGGTCTGAATATTCCTTGTCATGAACTTTGCTAAGGCTTGATGCAACACTCGATTTTGCTCCATTCCATCGCAAGCCAGATGGGAGGTTATCATGCTGGTTCATTAGGCCTATTGTATTTTCATGCTCCCGAGCAACATCAGCAACACCTCCTGGCTTCATCGGAGGCATGCTTTGTTTTACCTCTATTCTGTGTTTTGGCACTTTCTGGGCCTTTTAACAGCATATTCACATTCTATCTTTGGAAATAGTCTAATTCATTGAAAACTCAGTGAAAAATTTCACACTACAAAAGCAAAAAAGATGTGTTGATTTTTGGACCTTAGAAGCACTTAAACCTTTCAAGCTAAGATAATAAGGACTATAGGCGGAAATTGTTCTCCCTCATAGAAAGCAACTATCAAATGACTATAAGAATAAAAAGAAGATCAGATTTTCAAGTCGAAATCGAAGCCAGAGAACAGCAAAAGGCTTTTCTTTTAACAGGAAACAGCTATAAAATAGTGTGGATAAAGAAAAGAGACACTATGAAAACAATTTAAAAAAACTTTAAATAAAGTATTTTTAAATAAGTAAAGAAGTAACCCATTTTATCAGAATTACCCATATTACCTTTGTTTTGAAGCTGAACCACTATAATTGTACAGTGTTATCCAGGGTAAATAATTATATACAAACATTCACACACCTATAATCATACAGCATACATATGCATACATACCAATGAAATGATCTGTGATTTTGAAGCCACCACTGGAGATCCTCATCATAGTCAGGACAGTCATTTCTTCTGTATTGGCTTTGGAAGCCTTCGTCCAAGCCACTGGCAGACAGGATGAATATAAATATGTATATAATATAATTTTGAAAATAAACACTTTCTATACATGTTTCAACTTTGGTTTTCATCAGTTGTCATTGCACATATACACATATTTATATATATATTTGAAAAAAAGCACAGAAGGGTGGAAAAATTAATGACATGTTTTTACTTTTCCTGTTTTTTTAATTCTGTGGTACAAAAGCTCATTTTGGTACATATATGTAAATTTGAAGTTGGCACGAAATAGCAGCAACATAGCATACTAAAGCACTTTTCATCTGACATTCAAGTATAAAGTGGAATGATGACCCGAAGTGTCCAGAAAATTTATTTAGAGGTGTTGATATCCTTTGCCGTTTCATGGCCTCTCCAAATTTTGTGCTACCAAAAACGTATTTGACATGTATATATAAATACAAAATGTTTTTCTATGAAATATATTGAACTAATGAACTTGTGTGTGGTCTGAACAGGCAATTACTCTTCCTTCCATTCCTACTCTGTATTTAAATGTAAACTAAAACACTTGACTTGTAAGTTTCTTTGCTGCTGGCATTGAAATTTTGCCAATGCTGCTGGCATTGAAATTTTGCCAGTCATTTAAAAAATTTGGATCTTGCAGTACATATCTTAAATGAACAGTTTAATCATAACTAACTTCATAGTTGTAACAGAATTTATTTTATCCCAATAGATGCAGAAAGAGCACTCAGGCTATTGGAAATATACCACAGCAAGCTTAGCTCCCCCCAAGATGCTGCACTCAAAAATGCAATAGAAAGGGGCATCAAACTTTTTAGAAGCAAGCTGTTCTTTGCTCTCATTGGTAAGTGTACATTCACCATCATGTTCTAGGTAGATATTCACCATCATATTCATATGTAGCATTTGAATCACAAGCATGGTTTTAATCATTATTTCCATTATCATCTATCAAACATTATTTTCAATGAAAAAATTTCATAATAGGATTGAAATAATCTAATAAAAGTGCATTTATGGAAACTTGTTTCCATATAAAAACATGTCAGGCTACAGAATGGGGATTCAAGACAAAAATCAACCATAAGTTTAGATTCAGCCCCTGTTTGTTGCTGATTTGGGTATCAAGGTTATGGCCCAGAAGAAAATATTATCATTTGTTTTCAAACCCTTAAAGTAACAGAATATGGCTTTGAAAAAGCAAACTTTTTACAACATGTCTTTCTTAAGCTTTCGTGTGACTCATTTCAGAGTATAAAGCTTCAGAATAAGGGCCCAAAAGATCATGAAAATAAATTTTTAATTTGTTTGGACCCATGGAAGTGCTATCATCATGTCCCAAGCTCCATCTGGCCACAATTATGGTTTGTCTTTTATGCTCATAAAGGCTTGAATTTTCACTGTCAGAAGATGCCCCCAGTTTTTATACAGACTTAGTTCCTTAGTAGAGTAAATGTATATATTTATTTTTGGGAATAGAACTTGAAGAAGATGACTATATTGGTTGATTCACTTCATCAAAAAACCAACTTAGCTGATCACCCCTCAAGAATGACAAACACAAAATTCCTAGATGATATAATGCTTACTTGTTTTGATGCGGTAGTTTTGTTTATGTAAATCCTTTTATTAAGCATATCATCATAATCATTGCCGTGGCTCTCCATTTCCTTCTATCCTTTGCCGATCTCTCTACAATGCCGGACACTGACATCAATTTCCAAGGTCAAAAGCAATCACCCCCCTCTCCCCTACAGAACAATGTTGGTTTACTATCAAACGGGTTAGGATTTTAGGAAGCACTTTCTTTTGCGCTTCTTTTATGATATTTCTCTAAATCATCAACATTGTTTTAGGGGGAAGGGGGCAGAAGTAGCAATTTTTTTCATGAAAGGAATGAAAGATATCAAATGCAGCGTAAATTTCAAGTACTTTTGGCAGGCATTGTAACTGTGCTGTTTCTCTTCCACCAGCAATTTCTTTGATGTTGTCGCTATACCTAACTTTTGGTCTTCCTCTTGCTCTCTTCCCATTAACAATTCCTAGAAATAAATCACTGCTTATGTCCTTTTCTCTAAGTATGTGTCAGATAAAAGCCATTTTTCTTCTGTCTAAAGTTGTTAGCAACCTCTTGTTTCATTTCACTGACAATGACTGTTTCCTTTCTCTGTAGATATTCAAGAGTACTATGAAGAGATACTGCACGGTGTGGTCAGGTCTCCAGAACAGGTTGCACAAGAGGCAGACGTTATTGCAAGGAAGTGGGAAAGGCAGCCAGCATCCACTGCCGCGTCTTCTGTAAGCAAGCACCACTGATTTTTAGCTTTTTTTTATTTGAATTATTTTGGTTTGCTAAATTGAAGTGGCAAGTTGAAAGCCAATTTTTTTGTTACTTAAAAGTGGGGGAAAAATTTACTTTTACTTGCTTAATGTGAGCAGATTAATTTGCTTTCCTGGAAACTTTGCTGGGTTTCAGAATTGAATTTTGATGTGGTGGCTATATGATAGTCATGAGAGTCCTATGAAGTTTATGGGTTTCTGAAAATACTGAGGAGATAACAATAACCACTAAAGATGCCCCATAAAATACCTTTAATATCAGGGGCTTACCTTTCCCGTTTCTCATTCGAAGGTATGTAGCCGAACCTGTTTCTGTTGAGAGTTATTTTGGAGAAGGTTAATAGTTTTATATTATTTCGAAAAAATCTCAGTATCTCAGTGTAACCAAAGTGTTACAGTTCATTTTAATTCCACCTTCTAAAGTCAAAGGACCTTGTTTGATGGTCCTGCAAATATTAGGTCGCCCAAGAATATTTGGACAATATTTAATATTTTAACAGACATAATACAATCATTATAACCAAAGTTCCCAAAGCATGTTGAATTCAGCAATGTTCCAAAAATTCCTTCACGGTGGCAACCTACCCCTACTAGGCCCCTTTGAATACCCAATAGCCGATCTAATGACTTCGTAATCAATTCTAGTAACGAAATCAAGTGTATGTAGTGAAATATTTAGAAATTAGGTCAAAGTTTTATAAAGTTTAGAAAAAAAGAACTTGCAGATTTATTTTTTAGAATTGAACAAAGGATCACTTTTCTCAAATAGCTTATTTTTAGCTAAAATAGTTGATGAACTGTTACCCTAGATTTTTAATGCAAGTAGAGAGTGAATTTGCTATGAGAATCGAAGTTCACTATACATTGTCTCAATTTGACTTTTCCTGCACAAACCGCCAATCCCTTTTTTCCTTGTTCTTGTAATGAAGTCAGAATTTCCGGTGCCTCATAGCAATAGTTTGAGACAAAATCGCGGGTAACAGTTCTCAACTTGACTACCTAAAGTTATTTTTTTGGATTTACTGTTTTATACCTAAAAGGTAAACTTGAAGCTCCATTAGAAAATTTCAATGATTTTGTCTCAAACTAACAGCAATAAATATGAAAATTCTTGTTTTACTTTACACAATTGTGAAGCATGAAGTCACAAGTAGGCACTTAGATATTTATCTGTGCACTTATACATCTAGAGAAACTGCCAAACTGAAGTACATGTCTTGAATCACCGGCAATTTATAGTTCTTGCGTTGTTTCAAAGACAGTTTAAGATAACCGCTAGTTACGTTCTGTAATTTAAAGGCAGACAAATGTGTTAAAAATACACAAGTTCAATGTGAACTGTGAAGTCTGTCACAGTTTCGCAGAAAGGAGAGAATTATTGGAGGTGCAACTTTGTCTGAGGACAATTTTGAAAATGAATTGCTCATTGGCAACACAACAAAGAATTTTATATTTTTGGAGGGCTGAGTCTTCCTTATGACCAACAGTAGCTACAGCCCTGTTTCAAAGAGTTATACTCGTGTGGGTATGAAAGATGATATCACTTGTGGGCGAATGTAGACAGTTTTAATCAAGGGAGAACATACTTTCGGTCCACACTAATAGAAATACACAAAGATTTTATCTGTGTAAATTGAAAGAGTTCGATGCAAGCAGTTGCTGACTGCTCGAAAACAAGGGGCCTATTATGCACGTATTTCTTCCTTTCGTGGTCCGTTCGATCCGTTTCTTTTTGCTTGGTGTTTGGTCGTTTTTCGGTCGAAATAATTAGAATTATATGTATCTGGAGGGTAGCCAAGTAATTTAGTGAAGTGGGTGCAATATAAATTAATGCATAATATATATCGTTTTTGTAATTCTGTTAATGCGACAAAAATGTCAAAGGAAATCTTCTATACTACGCCTTGCACCGGCTTTCCGTAATTTTGTAAAATTTGCTAGTCACAGAGGCTGATTGTATTAGTTTCAATGTTTCTATGGAGGAGGTTGATGCGTTGCTAACTCAATTTATGTACTTGATATCTATAAAAAAACACCCACATTGCACAAAAAGGCTTGCATTAGGACATTTAAGATTGACCTCGTTCTGAGTAAGGAAGAGTGGTTTTTAGGGGTCGTCGTGCTTTTGTTTTTTCGTCATAGAGTTTAGAGAGCATGTGGAGAGATTAATTCGGATAAAGTTTGTTGAATACAGATATACGTCGCAAGCCCGTGGAGTCAAATATACAAGTCAAAATCCTGGTTGCAAACGTTTGTCTGAGACAGGCATTCTGCTTTTGCAAACGTGGGTATTTGGTTTCAGCCCCTACCCAACGACTTTTATCAATTTTGCTTTACTTTCTTGCTTTTTTTCGAACAAAATAGATTTTTAGATGGACTAGACTCAAGTGATACCCCCATCATAAAAAGAAAATGACTCGTCTGTTCTGTATACGTATCGTCACCAAATGCGTATATGTGTTATGATATTCTATAATTGACAGGATTTTGCTGTTCGGAAAGACCGCAGATAAGGTAATTTTTGCAAATTTAGGCTCCTAAGATAGGAATAACTCCAGATAAGCGCTTTAGCGTCATCGCAGACTAAGAATAGGAATAATTTTTTAAGCGAGGGTTTGTGCCAATAGTGTGAAAATTTAATGCACCAAACTGATAAAGAGATACCAAAGCACAAAAAACTAATCTGAGGTTTTTAAATAAAACGTTAACAAAGATTTAAAAATTAATCAGGTAGTTTCACTAAAGATAATGAAACTATCGACGTCAGACAATGAGATGTCTGGTGCCAGCCCCGCTAGAGACACGGCTAGCAATTTTAGGCCAGTAAAAGTAATGGTGAGAAGCAAATAAAAGATTATTTGTGTTGGGGCGCGGCGATGGTATTAATTTTTTGCGAAATTCTATGTTTCGAAAAACGAAAGATGCCTCTGAAGATTAAACCTGGAATTTTTTTGAACATCAAGTCTTACTTATACCTCAGACCATGAGAGGGGTTTCATTAAACTGCGAAATATTCTTTTTTTTAAAAAAGAAGCTATTAAGAATCATTTTAGCAAAGTTTTTAATTGGCTTGATAAAATCTTCGTGCGAGGACACCTCGATATTCTCACGCTATTCGTCGGCTCATGATGTTCTAATTAATTTCAGCAGCAAATAGATTCTGATTTTGAAAGACAACAGGCTCTCTGCAATAATTTTTATAGACGTCTTATTCCTTTTTCATATTATATTAGATTCCATTCAATTTTCAAGTTATGCAATGCTCCTTTTGCCATCCTCATTCTAGGCAGGGCATTCCTCTGAACCATCGACCGCATTGCCTAACCTTTGTTTTCTCGGCTGATTATGGAACAATATGGTATAACGAATAATTTAGGCCCTTACAACATTTTCAAAAATTCATCAAAGTCACGTTACCGATGACGTCAAAAAGCTCTGTTTCCTAGACTGAAAATCATTGTAACTTCTCAAGTATACGTCTGACTTCAATATAAATGCTAGATTCGGGCTCGCCTGAACGAAAGCTTTCTAATGATATTAACACATCACTATTTTAACGATGTCAGCAATTTTCAATGATGACGTCATCACTTTCAAAATGGCCGTCGATCAGCGAGCTGACTCTGATTTTGCTAGGCACAATTTGGCATTATCGCAATTTGACATCATGCATGGTTTTGATTGACACTTTCTTATAACGGAGAAAAAGCTGCTCCTTCGCCATCCACAGTTTTTCATTATTATTCTTTTAATTTTATTAATTAAATCTAAAATAATTGTTTCCGAAGACAGGACCTGAAGCCGTCGGTACGAAACCGAGCTTTGCACAAAGGCCAAGGGCTTATATTATTGGCATTGCCAGGAGACAGGAGGAAACAATTATTATATGATTTATTACTTTAAAGCCTTTATTTAATACCCCTGACAGGGCTAGATACCTTGCCAATCACTCATAAGGTGTCTGTTTATCCACTATAATAATAATAATAATAAAAACACTTATATTGCGCCATATATCCACAGGGCTCATAGGCGCATTACAATTGAAAATATTAAGTGTAAAATGTTAAAAAGGGGTAAAAGTTTACAATGTTTTTATTAAAATCTAAGTTAAAACAATTTATTCAATAAAATACTTTCTATGCAAGGAATATACCTTGATTCAGTATGCAAGATATGACCAGTATGCAAGGAATATACCTTGATTCTTTCTTAGATATGATCTTGACATATTTCATGTTTTTGTTCATGCGGATGAAATGGGGAAGGCAAAGATGAACCAAATTATGTGAACGAATGCTGACTTGTATAGTCAGATCAAGGTGCTGATGGGTTGCTTTCATCAACTCATGGGTTCGCCAACGTCTTTTCCAAAAAAACACACACAGTCAATGCCCATAAGCAATGGCAGATTGATGCAAAAACTGTTGATTCTTGAAAATCGTCAGAAAACTGAAAAGTCGTTTGAAATCACTAAACTGGAGGATTTGTTGAGCATGGTAGCAGCTTTGCAGAAAAGCAACACTAAGCTACTTTTGCAAGCAGTGCGAAATATGATTCTGCTTACATTTGCATTGAATCACATCAACTATGCCCGCTACTGGACATACCAACATCTGCTTCTCCATTGCACTTTAATCATTACAGGGTGAGGGTGAACAAACTACAGCATTCCAAGATTGGAACAAAAAAGAATTTGGCGGAAATTTCAAAACAAATTCTCTGCAATTCATTGCGATTTACATACAGAGCTATTTAATCAAGAAGCTAAAGGGACTGCAGGTCCATACAGGTCTGGCTTCAGCAAACGTTAATGCGGTTAACACTTGGATTGCTACGTCCCACATTCATAGCAAGTTTAGAGAGGCTCTAAAAAAATACTTTTTCGTAAAGTCATCATCAATTCACAAGTACAGCATTCCAGGTAGAACAAAGCTCCTTCAGAAGCATAATGGTAG